GTATTTGTACGTATTTTACATAATTGATGCAATGTGGTGGATCATACGACCTTTTTTTTTATCAACCCCTCTCCCAAAATAAAAGATGCAGGAATCTATTTATGGAAGTTGAATCAATCATTTACAGCAAGCTTTAAAACTTGGCATTATCAAGGAAGGGACTATAATAAAATACAATACGGCAATCGTTAAGGTCTCCGTAAAAAATAAATCTGCGACCTTGTTCTACGAAAATAAATCTTATGAATCATTTTACCAGTTCCTTATCGCCGTTAATGGGGTATGCCTAATCACTTTGTTTGTATTATAAGGATTTGATATTTACAAATTTTTCTATTTCAAGCCTGGACAATACAAGAGACTTATCATTGACGGAGTTTCGTATCATACTTTTCTTGAACGTCTGAAAAATATTAAATGTATGTATAAAATTTTTTTATATAAACACTCATGCATAACACTAACTGAGAAACTTTAAAAGATTCAAGCATGTCTTCCGATAATACTCTACCATCAACCACAACATTACCTGGTAACTCAACAAGTAATATTGATGACATTCTCCTTACCGAGATCACTGGATACTTTGTTGACCGCGGTTTTCAACTGAGTCTTGTTAGCTCCTTTCTAGCGAGGAATTCTCGTCTTGACTTCAAGACTAATGAGGAAATTATGTTTGACTTTCTTAACGAACGCGAACAACTGGATCCGAAAATTTTTATTGGCATTGAGGGAAGTGAAGGTGTGGAGTCAGGTGAAGATAAGGAATTACTTATGAAATGGGGTCTTATAGAGGAGGCTACAAACGAACTACGTGATAGTGTGCGTGATGATGCCGTTTGGTCTCAGCGGGTTTTAAAACATTGGTTACTTGATTGGATATACAATTTGGGGGGTTCATTTACTCAGATGAGTTTTGACAAAATTTTTTATGATCCACAATTTCAACGCAATCAATGGTATAGTTATGAAAGAAAAGGTGAACCACAAATTTTTGCCTCATCCTATGAAGAAATTGCCACTATCGGAGAGGAAGCTTTATTGAGGTGCAATACAAAAGTCTCTAATCTAATTAACAGTAACTTCAAAGCTTTCTTTCATGCGACAAATTATCAAAGTGCACAATCAATTAGTAAGAATGGAATCAAACTTGACTATTGCAGGTCCAGGCTTGATTTTGGATACCTTCAAAGTTTTTACCTGAATCCATCGTTTGATAATGCAATTAGCTTCGTTAAGAATAATGTGGGATTTAATGGAATTGTTGTATATTGGGTTGATATGGAAAAAGCAAAAAGCATGAGATATCGGGATTTAGTTCCAGATGAGAACTTATGGAGAGAGGTAGTGGTTTCGTCGAGGTGTGGACAATATTCAGTAGTAGATGATGATGATTTTGTTCACGGATGTCAGTTGTCAAATCCAAGACAAATTCTTTCTTCCTGGAGTACATATGGTGGAGCGGATGTTGAGGATTCGTGGTGGAATCTCATTCCCATGGCCAGATGGTTTGAGCCTATTCGCCATCTTCAACTTGCTGTAAAGACTGGTAAAGCAGTAAAATTTATAGACAGCTGTCACGTTGGGGTCATTTATTTCCATACAAAGGGATAAAAAAAGAATTTTAACTATTTCGAAATTGACTGTAAAGACAATTAAATAAGATTGTGTATGTTCTTCCTTGTACGTGCGTTTTTATGTATATGTAAGATTCACTCAGAATGATCCAACATAATAAATTAACATTCAATTATTAACAGTTACAAAAATAACAAATAATAACTTTATTTATAGAAATATTTTTTTACGTTAAATTACAATGTAGACCCAAAGGGTCATTGATCTGCAATAAAAGGCCGGCCAAAAAATAACGAATAGATAGAAGGTGGGAGTAGAGATGAAAAGGGAGAAATAAAGCATTTTAATCAATGCCTGCCAGGGATCCTAGGCCTTTTACATTGTAAAAAATGGCAGTTCCTTTCCCTACCCCACACTAGCTATCATTATTATCATCTTCTCCCTCCTCCTTACTTTCCGGTTCACTATCTATTTCACCCTTCTGCTTGGACACCCATAATTTTAATGAATCTAGTGTATCCTCTTTCGGATTTTTTGTTAATTTTTTATGAAA